GCCCGGGAGGTACATGTACATGATGCTAAAGTACTTAGAAACTCTACTGTCTGGAAGCTGAAAATTTGCACATGGACGCTACCATATTTTAGGAGATGCAGCGTATCCCATCAATCAGTGGCCTCTAACACCATACCGCGATAATGACCATTTGAACCACCACCAACGTCGTTACGATCTGCAGCTCTCCTCTTAAAGACAAGTTAATGAGCGTTCGTTTGGAATACTTGAAATACGATTTACGATAAGACTCGAGTATTTCAACCTTTAAAGTGAAATGGATATGTTTGAACATGCATACTTCATAATATACATATGTATGCATTATACAATATGACCGATTGGATGACATTATCAGTGATAATTCCGATGATGAAGATGATCAAGGACATGTTAATGTTTATCCCTGGCTTCAGAATGCAGACCTGCGTACCCTTTTCATTGCAGGGGTGTAATTTCGGTATATTTTTGGTGGAATTTCAGAGGTAAAAGCGTAATCAATCATGTTTTTATATTTTTGTTTGTTTTACTATAATACTTTTTTTTCATTCAAAAACAACCGAAATTGTACATTACTAAACAAAGCTGGCATTAACTTTTCATAATTTTTCGAATCATCCATTAGCAAAAAAAAAAATTAATAAAATACAAGTATCCATATCAAACTCATTTAAACCGTACACCCTTTAAGAAGCATTTGGTCAATTTGTATCAAATCACTAAACTGCATGAATGCTTGCGTTTGAATTTAAAACAAATCTTACATTTTAACAATGCGTTTTTGAAATCTTTTTTAACACTCATATTTCTCTATCTTGTTCTAAGAAATGTTAAATAAACTTAATTGAGATTGTTTGTTTTACAATATCGTTTAATAGTTAACGTAAGTAGTGCCGAATCTTCACCAAACCAGTTTACATGTACATATAACTACCAGGTATACTCGGTACAATTTCGAACTTGTCTATGAATTACCTTTATAAGAACTTCTTATTTCATATCAGCATGTCGTACTTTACTCTGAATTTAGAAGTTCATTAAGGAATTTTAACCAGAATATCAAAAGCGTAAAATTGATGTAAGTGGCGTAGTAGCGTATTTTTGTGGTAAAAAGCGGAAGAATTACGCCAAAAGCGGAAGGGTAGGCAGGTCTGAGAATGATGCCGAAGGAGCAATGAAAAGAAAACTAATGCAGATAAAGAATTCCAATGTAATTCAGCTTGCATAAAAAATGTCTTTCTAGGTATGATTGCATAGTTTCGGATCATGCAAATATCAATCCGTATACGGCCTACGCCAGGCAAATAGAAGAATTCCAACAAGAACCTATTCGTCCTTATGACGTATATATATCACATTTTTCAAAAAAGTAAACCTGAGAGCTTAGTAGACATTATTGCAGCCGTCCAAAACCCAAGTGTAATTAATGAGCTGAGCAGAAATAAGACTCTTACAACAAGCAGAGAATTTCAGTGAAGGGAGAATTCACTACCAGTGATCATCCAATTTCCACAAGACAGAGCTTCATTTCAAAGAACAAAGAGAAAACTACAAGAAAACATTGAATCAGGTTGAAGCTTAGGACACCTTCTGAATTATGCCAATATGTCAAGTCAATGCAAATTACAGAACACAATATTTAACAAATAATATTTTCTTTTAAAAAAATGTATCATTTTTAAACCATCTCCCAGTGAGTGTATTTAAAATGTTGCGTTGCCTTCATTCTTATTTGGTTCCCATAGCGGAATTAAAATTTGAAACCCCATTATTAACAATAAAGAGAAAACTTGAAGCATATCGATTTTAAATATGCCGCTACCACTCATGATCAGCTGCTGTACGGTGTGCTAAAATTCATTCAAAATATTCTGACGACATAGTACTTCAGTATATATGTTAGCCAGGGCATACATGGGTATATACACATTAATAAAGAAACACACAAGTGGAATGTCTTACAGGTCTCTGTAAGAATCAGACAAAAGGTGAATCATGAGGGTTCTCAGAATTCGATGATTTTACACATATAGGTTTTTCTTACACTATGAACCACATATGTAAAATGAAAATTATTTTGGGTCCTGGTTACTATGGAAACATGGCCATGAACCCAAAGAAATTTTCCCTAGCAACCAGTCAATTTTCCATGTGGATGGTCAAATATATCACTAAACTTAAAGGCTCGAAATTGAATGTGTATATTACCAGAGGGGTTTTTAAATAATGTTATCAAAAAGATAAACATTTAAAATGATAAAACAATGTAATACATAGACTTTTTATTTTAAGATATTTCTTTTACAGGCAATGGAAGATATGCATGTTTTGCACTTTTTGCTGATTCAGCATTTTTGTTAATTTTGACAATTTTCAAGGCCATATATCTAAAACTTCCCGCATGATACAAGAGTATGGTATATTTTCCATAAAGACAGAGAAACATCTTTTTTGGAATTTAAATTCAAAAGTGTGTGTTTTTTTATATTTACGGTCGGTTGCCTAGCAACAAAAATGGATGTTTTGATTAAGAAAAAGAGAAAAATTGTCAATTGTGCGAGTTATTTATCGAATTAAATGCTATCGTTGGACACCAAAATCAAATTTTAAAGTAGGAAAATATTCCTGAGACTTCTTAATAAATCCAGGAATATTGTTCAAATACTAATCGCCATAGCAACAGGAAATTCCCCCTAGCAACAAAGGAAATAAATTAACTTTCGACATGCACATTTACAGATTTAATTTTTTTTTCTTCTAGAAATGATAACATTGTAAATTGAAAAAAAAAATTGTATTAAACTTTAACAATAGTAATTTTTGTACTTTATTAATGCATGACAACATTTCTGAGCTGTTAACGATAATATACATTACGACGAGCTAAAGTATATACATGTAACTCTCTATATCATAAAGTCTCTATACATAAAGCAATTGAAGAACCATAAATGTAAGAAGGATTATGAAAATGGTTTTCACAATTACAATTTTGTGAATACTTATCTTACTTGATCAATTTAAAAAATGTTATTCTAAAAAACAATACTATTACTGGAAAAAATGTACAAATATTTAGGAGTTAAAATTTAATATATATGTAGAATTAGGAAAAGGGGGGTGCTAATACATGCATGCATGACTACGAAAACTATAAACTTTTTTCTTTGTTTTCATGTTGATATATAATTGCCTATTGTAACATATTCATTTATTAATAAATTAATTTTTTTTAATATTTTGCAGTCAATCATTGAACAAATAATGTAACTGAAGCGCGTATGACTCTGGACAGACACCAAGACAGAGACTTATTATTAATAATTTTATAACGTATAGGCCTAGCTAGAGACGTTAATTTACATGGGCTACACACAAATGATCAACTTATGATATATAAACTAAAATGCATACTGTAACGTGTTTTCATTAATTAAAAAAAAACTCTGATTAAAAAAAAAATGAAACTTGTGTTTTGTTTTTATTTGAAATACAAAATTGTAAAATTGGCCTTCAACAGGTCAAGTGCTAACAGGGTTTAAAATTAACTGAAATTTCTACTAGCCATGTGGGCTCCTAACATTTCAAATTTAGGAGCCCACAGCTAAATTTGTTAGCCCACAATCAGTTTCTGTGATTTAAAAAAAAAAAATGGTTCCCTTTTTTTGGACACTGGGACAAAAGTAGATACAAATAAAATATGATTGTGTATTAATATGAGTACATTTGTTTAAAATTGGAGTTCTTACTTTATGAAAATCAAATGTCATATGAATATTTAATCAAAGGAAATAAAATTAAATTCATGCATCACTTTTACTATCCTTTTTTTTTACATGGTGGAATACGTATACATGTATTTGCTCCTTCAAGTTCAACCGATGAAGTGACAATGGTACATAAATAAGATTTTCAATGTTAAATATTTTAACTGTAACATATCTAAAACAGTAATAAGTAAAAACACTTATAATTTATATGAAAAGGTAGTTTGGAGTTATTAAAATTGTATATCTTTTACGTATCAACCGTGTGCAGAAGAATGGAGGAAATTCGGATTAGAAAAAAAAGATCGTTTTTGGGCTTTCACAAATCATGTAGTACTGTTAAATGGAAAAGATGAAGGATATTTACGTACAATAGGACCATGCTGCTGTGATTTATTTCATTGGTTGGGAGTTTTGAATAAAATAATATGTGGAAATGTCTGTTTTTCAGTAAGGGGACTAGTCGAATGAATTCGGCCGCTGCAGAATTTTCATTCGCCATGTGGGCGAGCAAGTTATAAATTTTATGAGCCCACACCAAATTTTACTCGCAATTTGCGAGTGGGCGAGCGTTAATTTTAAACCCTGTGCTAATAAGAGTTACTTCCCTCTGAGAGCTCTTCTGTGTTGCTGATGTAAACAATATGTCAGACGTCAGTGACAGTTGTTCTGTCGTGTGTATATTAAATGCAGTAAATACAAAATGCGCTGTATCTTCACGATTTCCGAGTGAATCTGGACTGAAGAAGTTAAGTGAATGTGCCAGACCTATTTATAATCATTTAAGACAGTGTGCAATAAGTGGCAACGATATTGAAAGCGAAGGGCAATTGATTGCAGCTCGATGTGGACTGTTTGAGACTGATCTCAACTTGTACACCGTGTGTCCATTTCACAGAGACACTCTCGGCATAGCTTGGCAAAAGAAATCGACATGCCAGTATCCATTTCACGAAGGGAAAGCCAAGCCTTACCGTAGTTTTTCACTTCACATGAGCAAGCTGGTCTTCTCAAATTTATCCACATTGGTACCCGTTGGATCAGGTAGGCCCTATGTGTAAAAGTACTGAGTGCTATTTTGAATTCATACTGCTCTAGGCCTAATTATGAAAGGGGATGTTCTTAGGAAGTGTGAATGTGGTGGAAAGGGGGGGGCACATTTTCACATACACCGTTTTAAATATAAACTATACAAATTTTAAAAATAAATTTAATTATATGAATATAATCAGTGATATTTTCTTATACCGCCTTTCACATTGACAAAACAAATGGAATATTATATAACTTTTTTGTAACAAGATCATAAAGAATTAAAATGACCATATGAAGTCATCATATAAAAGAATTTAAAAATGCAATTACACAAAGTAAACAGGAAATTTGTGGTATTAAATAATAATTTTTTTTATTGTAGGCATTTGTCGCAAGTGCATAGATCTTGTGCACAATCTTCCTGATGTTCATATAGAAAACCTGACTCAAACAGACTTGAAGGTAAAGGTAATTTATATCAAAATGAAATGCTTTAGCACGTACATGGCTATGTTTCTGCTAGGAATAAGGGAAACTGCCCAACCCATGTATGTTATGATTTATTGATGGGAAAAGATGGTTTTGTCACAGTGTGAAAGAATATGTGATTTTTTTATCATAGTACTATTAAAGTAAATTTTCAAACATGCAACGACTTAACACAATTCAATATTTTCCTTCTCCTAATAAAGAATGGACATTGTAAATATTCCCTGTTCTGATTGAAAGAGCTTAAATGAATTTGACCCTGACGGAGACTATATGTACCAAATATTCTCGAGATGTTCAATTGTTGAAATTCCATTTACATGTACAATATTTTCAATCTCACAATGGTTTAACTACAGAGTATATGACATCTCAATAACTATATAATGACCTTGAAATTTAAAAAAAAAAATCAAGATTTTAAGGATATATATTTAGAGAGTGAAGCACTTGCATGAATTAAAATGTAAGGAAAAAAAGACAAGTGAAATATATCCAACTACAAAACATTAAATTTTCTGGTTATTGCAATTTCTTTGCCTTTTTAATCCTCATTTGTTTCTGTCTTTACTTACTACAGTATATAATATATAATCAAAATTGAGCAGTTAAGATGTCAAAGCTTAAATAATTAGCCATTGTGAGACTGAAAATATGGATTTCAACAGCTGTTATATCAAGAGAACCTTTGGTGGGGTATATGGATTTAGATAATTTTTATCCACTCACACAACTAGTTGCAGAGGGGATTATGAGTGTGTTTGTTGCAGCTTGTGGACACAATTGTTCTTGTGACTACCAACATTTTAAGCACACTGTAACCATATAGGATATACTAGCTAGTTTTCATATCCTGATGTATGTAATTATGAGTCCCCAACAGGCAATGGGACTATAGGTTTTGTCCATCTGTCTGTCCACTTCTACGTTTTTTGAAGAAACGGAGGCATTTTCAATCTTTATTGGAATCACATTACTCATGTTAGTAGGGAACTAGTACATATTGCCTTTTCTCAGAATGCAGCAATTGTTTAATATGTATTATTTAAATTTTTAGGTTGGAAATGTAGATGAAAAGAATGTCTTATCTGCCGTCACACAGGTACATTTAACTTAACTGAAGCAGATTGGGAATATTAGTACTTATAAATTAGGTTATCTTTAAATCAGAATTGAAAGACTTTGATCACCAAAATTATAACACCATTGATTTTAAACAATTTTTTACAGAGGCGTGCTGCTTATAGTCTGCAACCATTTGAAGATGATCAAATTGAGGGGGAATACTTTGAACATTCAGACCAGGTACATAATTTTGTTTAATTGTTTGTCATCTGTAATTATTAATATTTTTAACTTTTCTATAATTGTTGGTTCGGTTTCAACCAAACTTATCACAAAGCACCCTTGGGTGAAGGGGATTCAATTTTCTTTTCAAAAAGCAGTGTGCCAGTAAATGGAAACTTATGTAAAAGATTTATTACACAGTGTAAATATACAAGTTTGTTCAAATCATGACCCTCGGGGTATGGTGGGGCGACACTGGACAATTTTACATAGGAATATAAAGCAAATATATATGGAAACATGCTCAGGTATTGTAGAATTAAGATTGTTCCAATCATGACCCCAGGGGTAGGATGTGGCCACAAAGGGGATCAAAGATTTTTGTAGGAATTTTCTTTGAAAATTTTCTATTGCCATAATGATCAAGGGAATATCTAGATTAATACTTGTAGAATGAAACCATAAAGAACTACATATAGCTGGTATCTGCTTTTCTCTGGGGGGAAGTGTTAAATTCTCACAAGCTCTGCGACCCATGGGCCTCTTCTTTCAAATCATGTAAAAGTCTTCCATGTGAATATGTATGTGGGGAGATCTATGAAAAAAATCTTCTTTGTGATAATTAATTCCTATTATAGTGCACTCCTATCTACTGATTAAAATTTGAATTATAATTTCATATATTATTTACTAATCGTACTCAACTTTAAATAGCTAGGTTTCTCAATATTTTATAAGCATCATAGATTACATGATGATGACAAAACATGTCTTCACTGTAATTCAGATTCTCAACTATAAATAATTTGATTTCTTTTGATTTTCAGTTTTCATCACAGGAGAGTCCTCACCTGTCACAGACCTCAAACTGGAGTGATGAAAATACAACCGGACTTGAGGCATTTAATAGTGTAATCCAAACTATATCAAAGGGAAAATTTAGCCCCTTGAAATATCAACTGCAGAAACCTCTTCAAGACATAACAGCTCAAAACAGAAATTACTTACAGAAAAAAGCATCGCAGATGGTCCATAGTGTACTGGAAATGGTTGCTCCCGGACAGTCGAAAGAGCTTTTGAAACTCATTAAGGAGCCTGAACAACCCACAAAATCCAACGAAGAATCTGAGCATCTAATGCAACAGTTGACTAAAATTTATTATGAATCCTCTTACAATGCTGTGAAAGACCATACTCTTTCTATAATGGCTGGACTGTCGACAAAAGAAAACCTGAAGAACAGAATTCCAGGACTTACAAATTACCATATCAACAAAGTTAGAGCAGTTACACCAGACCAAATCTTTCAGAAGGTAAATGAACCACCAAAGAAAAGACAAAAAATGGACCAAACCAAACTAGAACACTGTCTGTCATTTTTTTTCAACTCCTCCTTTCATCAACTTGTGTCTTATGGTACAAAGGATTTGGAACTTGATTCAGGCGAAAAAATAGTTATCCCAGATGTCCTTCGGACTGCTTGCCATTCTACAATTATTGACTTGTATGAACAACATTGCAAGGACACTGGCTTCTTACCGCTCTCAAGGGCATCATTATTCCGAATATTATGTGCCTGCTCGGCTTCTAAGCGTCGGAATCTCTACGGCTTGGATAATATTACAGCTGATGGCCTAGCTGCTTTCAAGTCTTTGAATAACATCCTTGACAATCTTGAGCTTAAAGGCATCATAGACATGGATAAGAAGGCTACCATGAGACATCTTCTCTCTGAAAGTCAAAACTATCTGAAGAGAACCTTCAAGTTTCATGTTTCAGTGAATTCTTCATGTGCTGACCATTGTATAACATGGGCTTGCAGCGACACCAACGATGACAAATTTCAGTCAGTGTGCAATCATGATCATGTAGACAGCTGTCAACAGTGTGAAAATCTATCAATGGTCCTAGATCAGCTGTGCTCCTTAAACTTAGAGGATGATGAGGCATTGGATGTCAATGAGGCAGTAAACAACATCCAAGCATGGAAGGCTCACATCATAAGAACGATAAACCAAGATCGTGGTAGAGTGGATCTTCTAGATGGCATGCAAACATGTCAAATACTCTTGATCATGGACTGGGCCATGAAGTGCCTCCCGCTTTTACATCGAGAGAAGCAGTCTGATTGGTTTGGCCAAAAAGGGATCTCCTGGCATGTTACAGTTGGCATCACAAAAGATGACAAAGGAACTTTGAAGGTAAAATTTAAGTAAACAAAAGAAGGAAATAAGTAAATTATTACTCATGCAGTTAGTTTTCTCTAGAAATTACTAAGATCTTGAAAAAATGAAAAAAAAATTGTCCAAGTCCTGGATATAGAATTTAATTTTAATACAAACCAGTGTTTTTGTTCACTATATATATATATATATATATATATATATATATATATATATATATATATATATATATATATATATATATATATATATATATATATATATATATATATATATACATGTATTATATATCATAGTATGTTTTCTCTTTTTTCAGCATAGCACTTGGGTGCACATTTTGGAAAGTGGAAAACAGGACTGGTTTAGTGTAGCATCCCTCTTAGAGCATACCCTCTCAGCTGTGGTTAAGCAGTATCCTTTTGTCAAAGAGGCGTTCATCAGGTCTGACAATGCTGGGTGCTACCATAATGGATATCTGTGGAGTTCGATTCCATCTATATCTGAGAGATCAGGTAAATGTACATTTTGACATACCTGCCTTGCATATATTATAAGGTACCAGGATAAGAAAATGAAGAAACAGAAAATAATACATATTCTTTCCCATATCACCTCTGGTCCTTTGGATGATATTTGTGTACCAGGCTGATAAATAGTGTGATGTGGAAAAGGGTATTTTTTTAAAAACTTAAATTAGAAAAACTTTTAATTTAAATGTGTATTTCAGTAAAAATAAAGCATACAAGTACACTGTATGTACTTCAGACATGTGTAAGTACATAGTTATGATGAGCAAGAATACATTAATAGAAAAAAGAGAAAATTTTATTTTGATTATATTTTAAAGCTGTATCTTTTTCCTTGCATTAATATGATAAAATTTTTCTTTGCAGGAATTGAGATTAAGAGATACAACTTTAGTGAAGCACAATCAGGAAAATCCTATTGTGACGCCAAAATTGCTCATCTAAGGAAGAAGATGAGAATGCATGTTGCGGATGGAAATGACATCAAGTTCCCAGCTGACATGAAGATGGCCTTAGATAGTGGAGGTGGAGTTACAGGATGCCAAGTAGCAGTTGTGGCAGTAGATTACAGCCATCAGCAGATATTCAATCACAAATGGAGGGATGTACGCTTCATTACAGATCTGGAAGTAGAGGCTTCTAAGATGGTCACATACCATGCATATGGCATTGGAAATGGAAATATTATTGAGACATCCTCAATGGTCTCTTCACAGCAAAATTCGACAGGTCTAAAGATCTTATCTGACTTCAGGAAACCAGAGAAGCAAGAAGGTCACATACGGAATCCAACTATTATTAAGGAGCCCCATCAGTGTTTCCCTTGTTCAGAGGAAGGTTGCGTACAAAGTTTTTGTACCTTTGAGGACTTTGAGGAACATATGTACTTTGAAAAGCACACCTATGAATTTGATCAAACTACAGATTTATCTACGTTTGACAAAGTGAAACTGAGGTGGGCAGAAAAGTGTAATTTAGTCACAGAGAGTGAAGAGCCGATCTCCATTCCATCAACATCAGGGTATGATAAATCCAAACAAAGTGCTGCACCAAAAGGTTGGGCTCTTCGAAAGGAAAGAAAACAAGTTCGATTTAAGCAGCATGTGCGAGATTTCCTCAAAGATGTATTCAAGACAGGTGAAGATTGTGGAAAGAAGGCTAATCCTATAGAAGTTGCTTTGGAAATGAGAAAAAAAACTGATGATAATGGTAAGCGTATCTTTGCAGCCCAGGATTGTTTAAAACCGAGCCAGATAATGTCTTACTTCTCGAGATTAACATCTCAATGCAAAGATTCCTTCAAGAAAAACAGAGAAGAAGAGATGGAGGAGGATGAGTACCTAGAACATGTTCTGTATGAAATTGAAATGCAGGAAATCAGAAACAATGTACAGTCTTCTCATGCTTAAAACATTGATAGTTTGTTTGTATGGACCTATTTCTAGTTTAAACACAATACCAGTACCACTAATGTAATTTTTATGCGCCCGGATCGAAAGATCTGAGGCGTATATTGTTTTTGTCCTGTCTGTCTGTCTGTTTATCTGTGTGTCTGTTTGTCTGCCAACTTTAACCTTAGCCATAACTTTTGAACAATGAATGAAAGAGACTTCATATTTTATATGCATACTCCACTTATAAAGCTTTTTCAAATGACACCAGGGTCTATGACCTTGTGACCTTGACTGTGTCCTATATGCAGAAGATAGCTTTTTTTAATCTTCACCATAACTTTTGAACCATGAGAGATAGAGATTTCATATTTGGTATGCATACTACATTAATCAAGTTCTTTCAAATGACACCAAGATCTATGACCTTCTGACCTTGACTGAGACCTTTATGCTAAAGATATGTTTTTAAACTTTGTTGTTGCTGGGCGCATAGTGTTTCACAAGCACATCTTGTTGTTTTACAAACTGTGGTAAATAAGATGCTTTAGTTAGAAATAGGGAAAAATTGTATATATTACACTGCTGTTTTGTTGACTATGAAAAAGCTTTCTATAATCTAGTCTAAGGATGAAGCTTAAATCATATGCCATTAATGTAAAGATGATGTGCATGATTAAATCGCTTTATCAGAATGTGAAAGCTTGTATAAAACATAATGGGACATTATATCAGAGTATTTCAAATTTTCAGCTGGTGTATTACAAGGTGAAATTTTGTCACCATTATTGTTTTAAATGTACATATGTTGATGATTTTAAAAACAATTTTATATCTACCTATTGTCCATAGCTAGAACTACATATACATGCATAATAGAACTACAAATGAATTATTTATTTTTACTTCTGTATGCTGATGATACAGTACAAATCTCATAAATGACAGATGGTCTACAAAATATGTTTGATTCATTGTATGTAAATGTTCAGAATACAAAAATAGTAGTCTTTAGAAACTGAAATTTTAAGGAAGGCCTGAAGGCATGAAGCTTAAGATGTTGAATAAGTACATTTTTCATTCGGTAAAAGAGTACTTAAGGTTAAACAATACATATCACTGTATGGTAATATATTGTGAATTGGGTGAATTTCCTCTTGAACTGATCAGGGAAAAGAAAATCCTTGAATACTAATTATTTTAAATTAAAATGATAATTGTATTCTTCAAGCATGTCTCCAAGAAAGGATAGGAAATAATGATAATTGGGTTGTAAATATTTGTTATTGTTAAAACTCAAAAACAAAAGACAAAAACAGTTATTGTTATTGTTAATATCAATGTTAAAAATTAAATTTCATGGCTGGACTCAGCAGAACTGTTAGATAAATAAACATTAACACAATTTACTTATATACTATACTCCTGAAGACCAAGTGCCTTCAAATTGATACAGTTACTTAGTAATGTTAGTACACAGAATGAAAACGAATAATGTAATCTAGAAAATTTTTTAAAAAATGTGCATCAAGAACAGTGTTTTGAACTTATTTATACATGGTAGAAATATTATATGTACTGTACATGTTGCATGTTAAACGTGTTAAAATGTATGATTGTGAGATATATGTCTCTTGACTTCAATACGCTGAACAGAGATAAAATAAATAGAATACACAATGTCATTAAATGCTCCTTAATTTTAAAAGATTAAATTCATTTCAAATTGTTTGAATTGAATAAAAAATGTTTTTATCTTTGCAGAATCTGATTTCTTCTTTATGCATTATTTGAAATACAAGCAAGCAGTTTTGATAAGGATATAATCAGGTTGAGAGACTGGAGTCCACTAGATTTTCTGACTTCAGCATAAACGCATGTTATATTAGCTAATCTGTTTACTTTTTTGAAATTTGTCTAATGCTGTAATCTTGAGAATAAAAAGAAAAATTAAAGAATGACACATAATTATACATCCATAGGTCCTCTGCTTATTTCCATAGCACTTCTCTGTTTTGAAGAACAAAGTTTGAAAAATTTGAAAGCATTAATAATGATGTGGCCCCTGGGCCTCTTGATTCAAATTTTAATTGATGCATATTTTTTCTGCTTATTTCTAAATAGCACTGCTCTGTTTTGAAGAAGAATAACACTCTCAACATGCTAAAAATGTCATGTTTCCAAAATTTATGACATGTTGCCATGGTAACAATGACGCATAGCAACAAATTCTTTGCATAATTTTAAATAACAGAATTAAAGACTTTAAAGGGAGTTTTGAGAAATTCAGAGACAGTTCATGCAACATGTGCACCTCCTATATAAATGTTCCAGTCATTATAGAAGATGACGCTAAATAATTTTCATGATATCTACATGATCACTGAGCATGAAAAGTTGTATTAACAATGTTGTTGCCATGGGTTAATAAATTATATAAAAAAAAAAAAATTCCCGAAGCTCTTTAATCACTGTGGTAAATTAAATTCTGAAAAATCTTTACAAACATACATGAGTGCATGTCAAAAGTTAAATTATTTCCTTTGTTGCTAGGGGGAATTTCCTGTTGCTATGGCGATTAGTATTTGAACAAAATTCCTGGATTTATAAAGAAGTCTCAGAAATATTTTCCTACTTTAAAATTTGATTTTGGTATCCACCGATAACATTATAATTGATAAATAACTCGCAAAATTGACAATTTGTCTCTTTTTCTTAATCAAAACATCCATTTTTGTTGCTAGGCAACCGACCGTAAATATAAAAAACACACTTTTGAATTTAAATTCCAAAAAAGATGTTTCTCTGCCCTTATGGAAAATATACCATACTCTTGTATCATGCCAGAAGTTTTAGATATATGGCCTTGAAAATTGTCAAAATTAACAAAAATGCTGAATCAGCAAAAAGTGCAAAACATGCATATCTTCCATTGCCTGTAAAAGAAATATCTTAAAATAAAAAGTCTATGTATTACATTGTTTTATCATTTTAAATGTTTATCTTTTTGATAACATTATTTAAAAACCCCTCTGGTAATATACACATTCAATTTCGAGCCTTTAAGTTTAGTGATATATTTGACCATCCACATGGAAAATTGACTGGTTGCTAGGGAAAATTTCTTTGGCCATGTTTCCATAGTAACCAGGACCCAAAATAATTTTCATTTTACATATGTGGTTCATAGTGTAAGAGAAACCTATATGTGAAAAATCATCGAATTCTGAGAACCCTCATGATTCACTTTTATATACATTTTGTCTGATTCTTACAGAGACCTGTACTTAATGTCTAGTGAGTATAGTAGGCCAGAGCATCATCGAAAGTCGGAAACATTGGATAATTTGCATAAAAGGCGAAGCAATAATTATCCAATGTTTCCCACTATCATTGTTGTCCATGGCGTACTATACTAACTAGACAGTGATTCCTAATAATTCCATTTCATTGTGAAAAAATTGTACATTTATACTTTTAAAATGTAGACATAGGGTGAGATCACCATGCATCGGACACATACCTTGCTTCGGACAACTTTAGGCAATAAACTCTCTTTCAACTTGAGAGTTCTGTGTATGTATTTGTTTCTGTCTTAAAGATGAAGATTTAATTTTTTTAACGATACCGATTGTTTTTATCATATTGTGATAAAAATACCCCGAGAATGGCCTTGGAGTTACGTCATATTTTACATCACCAAAGGGGAATAACCCGAAATTTATGATTTTGCATTTTTTAGAGTTATCGTTCTTTTAAATTCGACTGTCACGAAACGAGTCGGACTTTGGTGAATTTTGTCAGGGATTGGTAATTTTACATAGATTATAAAGAAATTTCACTTCAATGTTTGTTTAATTCTTATTAGAATTGATTTTTACTAGTATACTCATTTCACCGTACATCGGACAAAAATTAACCATGCATCGGACACTTTCTGATGCAAAGTTAATCACTACCATTTTCATACAGAACCTAACTGACAGTTGTTTTTTGCGGAAATAGAAAATAAAAACTCCATATTTTCAGTCAAAATACAAGTTATTGATATATGAGTCTGGAATTTGACTCAATTTATTTCTACAAACCATAGTATGATAAACCATGAAAAAAGGGCGCGAATTACCGCATTATAAGCATTTTAAAGCGTTTCTAAGGCAGACTGAGGTCTCTCGAATCGTTCTACATTTGTGCAAAGATATCGTCAATTAAATTTAAGTTGAGGGTTATTTCTTAGATAAAAGATAAAAATATATCCATATCAAGCATTTTAAAGCACTTTGATAAAGGTATAATATTTTTCTGGTCAAAATACCGTCTGTCCGATGCATGGTAAACAATGTCCGATCCATGGTGAAATTTGAGTTATCACTAAAAACTCGATTTTTGAGGATATTTTCTCAATAAAGGGCATATAATTGTGTCCCAAATTGATATTTTAATCACAAACTAAATGTTAAACTCCATTTTGATAATTTTCCGTCGGTAGCGATATCGCTAGAACTTGTTGAAGTACAAGGGTATCCGATGCATGGTGAATTCACCCTATATTTAAATTACACGAGAACTCTCATGTCAATATCAATAATCATCGCCCACTGACAAAAACACAACACAAAGGCAGTCGCACGAGATTTACACGCATATTTGGCCTCCTTGGTGTCGGACACAGAGACAGATGCGCACGAGATTTGCATGCGTATTAGACCTCCTTGGCTCCTGACCTATCGACTTGCCTACTTCACATTCGGGTAAAATTATCAAGAAATCAACTTTGCTTGCTTTCAACGAGTTGTCACAGAGAAAAAAAAATAGAAATAAGATATAATCACTCTAATGTGATGTAAATGAATAGTTTAATAGGACGTGACTGGCCTGAATAATAACTAATATCATTTTCAATTCTACCGTCCGCGGTAGCTCAGTCGGTAGAGCGCTCCCTTTGTGAACGGAAAGTCGTAATCGAATGCCGCCACTGCTTCTTTGAAAATCTTCTCCTCTGCTCCTGGGTATTAAATAAACCAATTACATACACACTGTACAAGGTTATGATGAGCAAGAGTGCCTTTACCAAAATTGTGAATTTTAAGGCCCCAGGGTCAGAGGTTCTAGCGTAAGGGCGGGGCTCTATTGATTATATAGTGAAAAAATACATGAATTCTTTAAAAATCTCCTTCTCTGCTCCTGGGTATTAAATAGATTAAATAAGTGCTTAGTTTTGATGAGCAGGAGTGCCTCTACCAAAATTATGAAAGGTATTAAGCAGTTGAACTACCTATACAGTTATGAACAAGGATCCTTATCTTCCAGAATTGTGAATTTCAAGGCCCCAGGGTCAGGGGTACCATAGAGGGGGGCTGTACTAAAAAATTATGAATGGCTTGTTTGAAATCTGCTCCTTGGTATTAATCAAATATTTTTGAAAAGCAAAAATAACTTTTCAAAAATTGTGCAATGTGTGGGTCTAGGACCAAGGGTCGGGGGTCCATGTGTTGTAGGGGCACTACTGATTATTGCTGAATATTACAATAGACCTAAATTCGCTTTAGGTCTATGATATTACTGATTACTTGAAATACATTTTTTGTTCCTCTGCCTTGCCTATGGATATTAAGTGACCAAACTTAGCAACTGCTAAGTGTATAGTTTTGATGATCAATGATGCCTCTTTCAAAGTTGTAAATGCCATAGCATCTGGCTTAAAACATGAATAAAATTCAATCACTGGAAAGTTGTTGCATAATGCTCAAGTGACCTGTAAGGCCCATGGGCCTCTTGTTAAAAACATTTGTAATCAAGTGATACTTTCTTTCTATTTATCAATGATTTACCGGTATTTATAAACTGTAAACGTTTTGACTTTATACCACATAGTTTGGAGCTAATGTAAAAATAAGTTTTTAGACGTGTTGCCCTTTGACGAAACCTTAAGGATAATATCCTTAGAGTTTATTGGACATCCTTACCAATAAAAGTGTATTGGTTCAATTAATCATCCGTTTACCACCAACAGATAAGTAAAGTGTTGCCTGAACCCTTGTGAAGTTAAAATGATTTCACATTAAATATTAAATTCAGGAATACTTTTCCCTATAACTTTTTATGGCTAATTTACCCAAAATTCCAACCCCCTTAAGTAGTTTACTTAGTATCCAACGGTACATTACATCTTTTTTGTTTCCATATGAGGGACTTCTTAACAGCACATAACTGGTTTTCAGTGTCCTCTGGAAAACTGCACTAAACAGTTTTCAACGCAAAGAGCTGTTGATGACAATGTATTAATGGGCATCTGCTCATT